GGAGCCAGGGAACCACAAACCACCATGTTGTTCCTTTTCTTCCTTTTAGAACACACATACAAACCTGGTTTTAAGAGTGTTCTTGACTGATCTATTAGTAGTCGAGCTCTGATCTCACTCTAACCCATCTCAAATGGAGGGACAGATTTTGCCCATCAATCTTGAGGTCTTGAGAGAATAAGGATTTGGTCTTTGGACTGTACTTTCTAAATGCACTACAGATGTAAAATGACACTGTCAGTGCTTAAATACTAAGATGATAGGCACCTGGCAAACACCTTAGATTTTTCTGTTAAGGTGTCCCAAACACCAACCAAAAGTAGTAATTTCACCAAAGCCGACATTCCATCAAAACTAAAGAATGCATCTAGAACCGCTGCTGTTTATGCAAAGAAAATATATAGGAAAAGGAACCCTAAAAGCAACAGTTACAAACAATAACCTGTATTTTTGCAGGTAGGTGTGGGGGTGTTGTTTTAATGCAGTTTAGGCCACTTTAATATGAAAGTCCCTCATTTGTGGCCGCACTTTCTTATGGGGATGACAGCCCAGATTTTAAAAAGTGGCGTCCAGTGTTGGGTTCCTCAGTTTTTGAAAGCCCAGCATAGGAAGCTAAGGTGTCAGCAGGAGATTTTGCTGCAGGGCCAAGGTGTCTAAAATTGGGCACCCACAAATGGAGAGACCCCAAAACAGAGGGTGCTTTTGAAATTGTGGCCCTAAGCATCTGAGGGCTTGTCTACATGTGGACACTCTCAGGAAAACTAATCCAAGTTAACTAAAGGTGGGGCTTTAAAGTGGATTAGTTAAACTGCATTAAACCCCTGTGTGGATACTCTATTCAGAATTAAAGTGGCCTTTGTTCGGCCACTTCACTTTAATTCTGAATGCGAGTGTCTGTCTGCACAGGGGTTTTATACAGTTTAACTAATCAATTTTAAATTCATACCTTTAGTTAATTTGGATTACTTTTCTTAAGTGTCCCCGCATAGACAAGCCCTAAGCGTATGTCTACGTGCAATGTAAGCCCAGGGTTAGTGCTACTCGAGTCAGCGGAGCTGTGTTAGGGAACCCTGAGCTTGAGCATCTACATTGTATTTTAACCCTACATTCAGACTTTTCCAACCCATGCTTGAACCTCGGGCTCTGGTGTCCACATTGCAGTGTGCAGACCCGAGTCAAAGTAACCATATCCCAGAATCCCTAGCATCACCCCGCAAAATGTGGCCACTCTAGCCCTACAACTGTGGTGGACTGTGGGGAAACTTTACTGCCTGCCCGTCCCATTATAGGAAGTTTGAAGCAGCTCACTTTGCAAAAGACTTGATCAGTTTCCACTGCCTTGCAAACCCCGGAGGCTCTCTGATAGTGTGCTTGCAGATCGGTGATCAGAAAAAAATGGTTTAACTCTGACCTGATCTGCTGCCATTCACAAAAGGGGTCGGTGGCTTCCGTTTTCAATAGAGAGGATTGCAGATTGTTGGGATAGAAAGAACTAAGGAAGTTGTCCCACGGAATTGTGGGATACTTCCGGCTGACTCCTGGGACCCAAGTCAAGCGGGGCTGAAATCTACACTGCAAAGCAATAGGGCTCAGACCTTGGGTCCTGGTTTAACTCTATCTCAGACCCTGCACTAGGGTGACCAGATCACCAAAGACAAATATCGGGACGCGGGGGGGGGGGGGGGGGTGGCGGGGGGCGG